TGAATACAGTGACATGGTTTGGTAGATTTATCACTTTTATTACCAAACAGCCAAAGAGAATGACAGGATCTGCCCTCCACGGTACCCACACACCTTCCCATTCCCCAAGCTCTAACCAAGGGTATCCGCAAAAGTTTCTGTGTCCCTGATGCTCACTGCAGGTAAGGTAGTAAAAATCACCCCTATTTTCCCGACAGCCCAGTTCCTTCCTTATGCCCTAGTAGGTGACCTTGTCCCCAGAGGCAGTTAAGACGGGGCATGACACACTTCTCTAGAGTGAGCAGTTGCAGCAGAGGGGAGAAGAAGGACAGAAGCGGACACATAAGCCACAGAGAGTAATTTCAGATGTAAAGCTTAAGAGGGATAGACTATGGAGACTCTGAGCCTCAGTTGCGTGGAGCCAGGAGAGGGAAATGGGAGTAAGGCACTAAAGTGGATAATGGAACAGCGTGAGCCTAGGACGAAGTGCTGCTGAGTTTTAATTCAATCCCAGCTTCCAAGAAGCCCAAGTCCAGGAGCTCAGAGTCCTCTAACCCCTACTCCTCTTGTCTCTTCCCATTTTCCCTCCCACTTCTCTTCCCTCTCTGCTGCTCTTCTTTCTCTCCCTCCACACCCATTTCTCCTCCCCTCCCTTCAATTCTCCTCCCACTCTCCTCCCCTTTTTTTCTGACTTGCATTTGAGAGGAAATCGAAAGTGAAATTAAGACTCCATAACAGACCATTGAGTTCCCTGGTGAGGTGAGTGAAGCTGGCTAGGCCAAGGGACCCCAGCCCTGCTTGGGGACCTCTCCCCTTACCCAGATTAGAAGACTCCCTCCCACCTCTACCCTAGAGCCATTGGTCCCAGTTGCCCCTTCTCTGCTGCAGTAGTTGGTCGACCCAGCGATTCTTCCTGCTCTGGCTCCTCTGCCTAGGAGGAATGCGGGGCTCTGAAGTGACTGTAGAAGTAGCCCGCAGGAGCTGGGCTGCCCTGATGCAGGCGCCCATGGAAGGAGGAGGGGGTGCAAGAACCTGGGAGAATGAGGATTGTAGCCCTGAGGGAGGGTGGCACAGAGGAGCCCAGTGTGGAGTGGGTCAGCAAACTCTAAACAGAATTTCCCTTCCCCCCTATCTCCAAAAATCCACCTCTGCAGGTGAGAGGGACAGGGCTACTCAGGACATTGAACTAGGATGTATGCTGGCCCAAGACAGAGCTGGTCACTGCCCTGGAGGAAGTGAAAACAGGAACCAGGTAGCTAAGAGAAGAGCCCAGGGAGTGCTGGCCGCACTTCTTGCGTACCAAGTGTCACCTCCCTTCCAAAAACTTCTCAGGGGATTTTCCCCATTTCCCTACCCCTCAAAAGCAAAACTCTGAAATTTCTTCCTCCTCCTTCCTGTCCCTTCCTCTTTTGCATTTTACAGCCTATGTGACCTTCTGCAAATTGAGTCTGTTTGTTGCTGCATACATATATATGTATGTCTGCATGTGTGTATATGTGTATATGCGTACATATATATATCAACATTTGACTCCTGCCGTTATTGTAAAGATTAATGAATTGGCCCTAGGTGGTGCAAACAGTTAAGAGGCTCGCTCTTAAAGGTTGGCACTGTGAGTCTATCCAGAGGCACCTTAGAAGAAAGGCCTGGTGATCTACTTCTGAAAAATCAGCCATTGAAAACCCTATGGAGCACAGTTCTCCTCTGACACACATGGGGTCGCCATCATTAAGAGTCAACTGGACAGTAACTAGTTTATTGTTATGATTAACTTCTCAGCAAAATCAGTGATTGATTGCACGAGATGGGAGAAGATGGATGGACGGAAAAAGCCTTGGCCCTGAGGGAAATCTTTATAAAAAATTACCAGAAGGATTCCAAAAGTGGTAATTGGTAGAAATGGTCCTAGTGTGAAAGTTAGAAACTCCACAGCCTCCTATTCAGACCTCCCACAGCCTGAGCCCTCTGACTCAGCAGCTCCCACCTGGACATCCCTCCAGTAAATCTGGCTGCTATGCATGCCCCAAACAGACAACCTGATGTAGCTGAATGGGCTCAGCTCCTAGCTGGACACAGGATCTTCTTTTTTCTTTCATCCCATCTTCCCTTCCTTCCTTACTCCCTTTCGTCATTCCTTCCAGGCAGTTGGATTGTTTTCCCCTTGGATTGTAATGGGGAGCCTTTGAAGGGTTTAAACTGGGGTGGACATGACGAAAGTACAGTTGTAAACTGTTTTATCTCTGAGGTTCTGGACAATTATCTTTGCCTCTTTTGGAGACTAACTTTCCCCTTCTGTCTGGCCAGACTATGGAGGAGAAGCCCTTGTTATTCAGATTGATGTTCTTGCTCTTTCTTGTTTTTATCCCCTCCAGTTCACCTCCCTCCAATGTTTTCCTTTGAATCGTTTTATTTTTCTCACACAACCCTTCTCATCTTCTCCTTTCCTTTTCTCCTCTCCCCTCTAGTCCTGCACAAGATCTCCGTGGTGCTGCTTAACAGGGACATTGCCCCTATGGCTTCAGAGATGTCCCTGTCAACGATGTTGGAGGAGGTAACGTGCCCTCTCTGCCTGGATCCCTTCATGGAGCCTGTGAGCATCGAATGTGGCCACAACTTCTGCCGAGCATGCATCTCTGAGGTCGGGAAAGATGGGGGTAGTGTCTGCCCTTTGTGCCGGCACAAATTCCTGCTCAGGAACATCCGACCCAATCGGCAGCTAGCCAACATTGCGGACAACCTTAGACAAAAGGGCCAGAGGGCCGAGGAGGACTCAAAGGAGGATCAGTGTGGGATGCATGGAGAGAAACTTTACCTGTTCTGTGAGGAAGATGGGAAAATTCTTTGCTGGGTGTGTGCCCAATCACCAAAACACCATAACCACTCCATGGTCCATATTGATGAGGCTGCTCAGGAGTACAAGGTAAGGCCTTAGCACAAAGCATGAGCAGGAAAGAAGGAGATGGGCCCTGATCAGTGTTTTGTTCTCCAGAGCTTGGGATAGGAGAGAGTAGCCTCTGGAGTTGAAGGATTGGGGAAAGAAAGGAAGGATGTCTCCCTCCATGTCTAATCTAGGTGGAGAATTACAGACTGAACACAACCATCTCATTCCCCAGGAGTAGGGAATATGCTATGGGAAAATGCTGCAAGGATCATAGTTCCTTGTGGTTTCCCTGCCACCCTAACAGTGTGGGTCTAGTCTACAAGAAAGCATCAGACTTTTTCTGAAGTCTTCCTATCCATCAATTCCTACCCCTCTCAGACTCTAGTACGCCATCCTTCTCTGCACCCAGGCTTTTCTAAGAACCAAGATGACCTTCCCCCACCCCGTGTTACCCCACCCTACTTGTAAGTCTGGTTGGGGATTGACTTGCTCTCTCTCTCTGCAGGAGAAGCTCCAGGTGGAATTAGAGAAGCTGAGAAGAAGGCTGGAGTTGGCTGAGAAGTTGGAAGTCGATGTTACTGAGAAGAGAACAGCCTGGAAGGCAAGAGTCACACCCTGAAAGGGATCTTAGATCAGAAGCCAGGGCAGAATTCAAGTTCGTGGGCTCAGCTATACCTATCTGAGTAGCTATAGGGTTGGTATATCTCACACTCTGAGAACCAGCCATCCTCTGTGTCTCCTGATAAAGGGGAATAAGAAAGAAGGAGGCTAGAAGGAGAGCTTCCAATCAAACACAAGAGTGAGAGTCTATAGGAGAGGGTGCTGAGTGGAAGAAGCCATATCCTAAAGCTCTCTGCTTCTCTGAGCCCAGTCTCAGCAGATGACAGTACCAGTGCCTTGGTGTCTGGTACTCAAATGTCTCTCAAGAGAGAAACCCAACCACTCTGCCTTTCAGGAAATGGCAAAGGCTGTGAGGAATAGGCTTAAATGTTGAAGTAGAGAAACCAGTTTGAGCAGGTGTTTGCTTGACCATGTTTAGATCACTGGTCCAAAGTACAACGGAGAACTAAAGTTTACTTCCCGCTGGTGATTTGCTAGTGGAGGAGGGGCGGGTCAGGGATTGAAGAGGAGTAGAAGGAGCTCGTGGACAACAAATCCCAGAAGAGGAAGACTTGAGGTGAGAGAGGGCGGAGTCAAGCTGCAATAGCAAGATGTGACCCTCCAGTTACCAGCAAAAGAGGACAGGCAAAGAATATTCCAGAAACTTCCTTTTCCTATGACTTAGAAATGGTATTGTGAGCCTACCTGTGTGAGGTTTTTGGGGGTGGAGTCAGGTGTTACTCTCTTAACTCATTGAGAAATGAAGGCCATGGGGCACATTTGAGAGGTGACTGGCTTTTGCAAGAGAGGTTGAAGAAAGTCTTGGATGTCATAGGCTGATGCAGCTGTGATTGTGGGCCAGCTTCAGTGTGCTTCCACCAATCCCAATCTCCTCTTAGACCCTCATGCCTTAAACACTAGTCTCTCCATCAAAATAATATGTGTGTGTGTGTGTGTGTGTGTGTGTGTCCCCAGACGGAACCAGAGTGGTGAATCTGCAGAGGATAGAAATAGGTACAAACATCCTCCATCCTTGAACCTTGAGTGATTCTGATAAAAACCATACCTCTCTTTCCCTTAACAATAAAGAAAAACATTGAGGCGCACAAATCAAGGATTCACGCAGAGTTTGTACAGCAGAAAAACTTTCTGGCTGAAGAAGAACAGAGGCAGCTAGAGAAACTTGAGAAGGAAGAGAAGGATCAGCTGAGAATCCTGGGGGAGACTGAAGCCCAGTTGGCCCAGCAAAGACAGGCCCTGCAGGAGCTGATCTCAGAGCTGGAGTGGAGGAGTCGAGGCTCAGCGCTGGAACTGCTGCAGGTGAGACCAGGGAGAGGCTGCCTCTGAGATTCAAGGAGTTACCGGGGGGGAAGAAAAAACAGTTCCCTGGGTCTGCCATTAGAGCAAATGGAAACCTGGTCCTTGGAATATTCTTAACCAAAACAAACTGAATTAGGATTCATGGATGGTTTGTACAAGGCATAGAAAGATACAAATTTAGGAGGGAATATTCCATGCAGCAGAGTCCTGGGTGGTACAAACAATTAACATGTGGAGGTTCAAGTCCACTCAGAAGCACCACAGAAGAAAGGCCCTGGCAATCTACTTCCAAAAAAATCAGCCATTGAAAACCATGTGGAGGACAGTTCTGCTCCGAAACACATGGGGTTGTTCTGAGTCAGAAGTGACATGATTGCAACTGGTTTGTTTTTTTTTTTTTTTAATTCCATGCAACAATGAAGAGAAACGGACTTCCTTGGTACATGCCTAACATGTACTAAGCATGTGACCTTGACAGGATCCCTTAATCTTTCTGAGTGCCAGATTTCTCAAATGTAAAATGAAGTTTACAATATTACATATCTCAAAGCATTTTTGTGAAGTTTAAATGAAAGAATCCACTAAGTTCCTTAGATGAGTGTCTGGCCATGGGGAGGTTTTAATAAATGAGATGAAACTAAAAACACTGAAGTGAAAATCAAGAGAGAGTAGCCCAGCCCCTGCCCTGCTGTCAGTTCTCTCCATGACTCTAGGTTAAGTCATTTTCCTTTCCTGGACCTAATTTCTTCATTTGTAAAACAACAGGGGTGCGGACTGGACTAAATAATTGGGATACTCAAAACTTCAGCCATGAATGTATCATCTTTACACTTTCTGCTACTTCTATGACTACCCAAATGATTTTAACATGTTGTTTTTCGTTAAATTTTCTCACTTTTTTTTTAGCTTGAGTAAGTTTAGTTTAGAAGGACATTTATCCCAGGCAATAATAGCCAAGAAATTCTCCTCTGATATATTGTTGTCAGGTGCCATCAAGTCAAGTTCAACTCATAGCAATCCCATGTGACACAGTAGAACCACCCCATAAGGTTACTTGACTGTAATCTTTATGGAAGCAGATTGCCAGGTTTTTCTCCCATGGAGTCACTGGGTGGGGTTTGTACCGCCAACCTTTTGATTAGCAACCGAGTGCTTAACCATTGCACCACCAGAGCTCTTTGTTGATACGTTACTTATATTCTATTCTAATTTATTTTGTAACAATAATAACTGCGAGCTCTTAAAAAGCACATATTACATGCCAGGCATATCCTCATGGCAATGCAGTGAGGTGGGTGCTACTACTATCCCCATTTCATAGCTGAGAACACAAAGGCACAGAGATGTTAAGAGTCTTAGTGAAATACTAAAGCTAAATAACTAGACCAATTCTGCCCAAATATTAAGAGGTAGAGCTAAGATTAAAATAAGTACATAGCTATTTTTTAAAAATTCATCAATACGTGATCTCACTTATATGAAATGCCCAGGATAGGCAAATGCATAGAGATAGAAAGTAGATTAGTAAATACCATGGGCTAAGGTAGGGAATATGGGTATGTGAATATAGGAAGTTAATTCTTAATGGGTACAAAGTTTCTGTTTGTGGTGATGAAAAAGTTTTGGAAACAAATAGTGATGAAGGTTGCACAACATTGTGAATGTAATTAATGTCTCTGAATTGTACACTTAAAAATAGTTAAAATCGCATGTTTTATGTTATATGTATTTTTCCACAATTTTTAAAAAATTCATCAAGGAATATTCTACTTCAAATTATCTTGTATCCACTGTATGTTTGCCTCACTTTGGGGAACCATGGACCAGAAGGTCTCAGAAGTCTCTTCTGCTCTAACATTCTACACCCACTCTTCACTTATCAACATGGTTAGGTTCCAAAGACCAAGTCATTATGCGAAAATCAGCATTTATGAAAATGAAGGATGACCCCATCAGATCACAAAACGGAGGATGACTACATCATTACTAAACTGCCAAATTACATCATTACATAACTGCCAAACCACTGAGAATCATGGCCCCGCCAAACTGACACATAACCTTAACCATCACAGCCAACGTTACTCTCTGACTGTTACTGCCAGATGTACATCATTAATGTGCTAAATAAAGAGTAGAGTTTTTACTGTCATAAATGTGAAATGTTGGATAACGAGATCATTGTTAAGTGAGGAGTAGATGGACAGTTCTTCTTTTCCCACACCTTTTCACCATCTCTCAGTCAGATGTAGTCATGAAACATTTCTTTCTGGTTTGTGCAAAAAGGCTGATTTGATTCGGTGGACCTGACAGGCTCTCTCCTCCCATTATGCAAATCTTATTTCTTCCTGACATTCAACTGGGCTTTCTAATACAGTTTTGACTGGGCCTAGGACAAGCCTACCAGTTCTTATGTGAGGGCCCCCATTTCCCTGCACCAGAATATTCTCAGATGATTTGATTTTATATACAAGAGGGGCAACATTAAGTATAGCACAGGACGGAGATTTGACCAACCAGCCCTTCTCCCCTAAACAACTCAAGCCCACAAATGAGATAGAGCAGTTTCTGGGCATCCTGTTTTAGACAGTCTTTCCCTGTGACTCTCTCTGTACCTCAGCCAGGATGGACTGTTCTCTCCACCACCCTGCATCTAATTCATTTTCTGAGACAGAATCCTTAAACTGATTATCTTTCCTCTAGCAATAGGTTACACCCATGCTAGGTTCCTAGTTACCCACAACCATGCACACACTATTTCTGCCCCAAGCTTCTCAGAAACGGCTCATGGCCCCTAGAATAGGACAGAGCAGTGCCCTAGGAGCACAGGTTTGTATCACATCACTCGTAGGACCAAAGTCTCAATGATGAACCAGTGACTCCAGAACTTACTCTCTGTCTCTTTTCTCCTCAGGAGGTTACAAGTATCCCAGAAAGGTAAGGAGAGGTTTTTTTTTCAAGGGGAGGGAGTGACAAGAAGCATATATACCTATGAAAAAGATTATTGAGGTAGAAAAACATATGCTGAAGTTTTCCCCATCCTCCTCCCTATTCTCAAAGACCTGATCCTCCATAAAATGTTTTCCAGTCTCAGAAAGCTAATTAATGGATATCCTCATTGGTGAGCTGCCCACAGTGACTGGACTGTAATATCTTCACAAAGCGAAGCACTGGCAAACAGTGAAATTCTGGGAAGTTCTGAGTCTACAACCTGCTGGGATTCCCTTTTTAAATGGAATTTAACCTGTTACAAACCTCCGAGAAGGAGCCATAAGTAAGACCCACAGCATGGGTGTGACACCTCGAGGTTCCTCACAGAAGTGATTCAGCCTGTATCCAATGGCCTCGCCTATAAAATGCAGTAGAATGTGCTTACAGGGTGGCCAGTCTTGGAGAGGAGATAGGGACTACCTGCATACTGCAGAGGCTCTTGTAATTAGGAACTCTTGAAAAGGAACTCAGTCTCCCCACTCCCAGGGACTGAACACAGGAGATGCTTGTAAATTTGTGTTGAATTAAATTATCACAGTAATCCATGAGGGAGATTATGACATTAGGGTACCAGAAGGATGTGATAGGAGTTGGAGACAAGGTTCTCAAACTCTGTTTCCCTCAGGAGTGAGGCCTGTAACCTGAAGGAGCTGGATATTGTCTGCCCAGACGTGAGGAGTGAGTGCCGTGTGCCAGGGATAAAGAAGATGCTGAGGACATATGGAGGTGAGGCGAGCCCTAGGAGTTGTGGGACTGGCCTGCATGGGAAGCAGAAGGGTACAGCAAGGATGCAGAGCCAATGCCCAGGGTGGGGGAGAATGGCAGCATCTAGGAGAGAGGGCAGGTTCGAGTAGGTGGGACAGGATGGAGATAGCGAAGGTGTCCCTCAAAGGTCAAGGCAGGGGCCAGAGTTGGATGGGATGCCATTTCCTCACACTGAGGCTCAGGGTCACTCCCTCATCCACATTCCATAGTTTACACATGCACAGGCCACTGACCATCACCACCCCCAGTCACTCCACACCCTCCAAGCCTGAACATGGTCCCTTCTCTGCAGTACACATCACTCTGGATCCAGACACAGCCAATCCATGGCTCTTCCTTTCTGAGGATGGGAGACAAGTGAGTCTTGGAGAAACCTGCCAGGAGTTGCCTGAAAATGAAGAGAGATTTGATAGTTATCCTGCGGTCCTAGGTGCCCAGTACTTCCACTCCGGAAAACTTTACTGGGAGGTAGATGTGACTGGAAAGGAAACCTGGGACCTAGGGGTTTGTAGACACTCTGTGAAGAGGAAGGGGCAGTTTTTGCTCAGCCCTGAGAATGGCTTCTGGACAATTTGGTTGTGGAAAAAACAAAAATATGTGGCTGGCATCTCCCCCGAGACTTCCCTCCACCTTCAGGTGCCTCCTAGCCAAATTGGGATCTTCCTGGACTGTGAGACCCACACTGTCTCCTTCTATAACATCACTGACCACGGCTCCCTCATCTACACCTTCTCTGAATGTGACTTCGCTGGGCCTCTGAGGCCCTTCTTCAATACTGGTTTCAATTATGGAGGACAAAACATGGCCCCTCTGACCCTGTGTCCACTGAGGCTGGGATGGTAGGGGTCCACCAACTATTGGTGGCTTTCCTCCAGACACTACTACCTGCTCCCTGTTGATACCCTTCTTATTCATTCTCCCCGCCTCTTTTCATCAACTCTGAGCCACCTCTACCTCTGCAAAGGTGTCAGCATCACAGTCAGCAGGCTTTGGCACTGAAAGCCAATGCCAAGTGGCTTTCAACAGCAGTATTCCTGCCCTAGATTGTTTATGAATCCCTCCAAGGAAGCAGAATACTTCTATTTGGTCCAAACTCATCTGGATCAACCAAAAACACATTTCTGCCTCCTTTATGTGACTCAAGTTTTGTTTTCTTCTCTCCATCCCTATATCCATTGCCTCAGTTCAGATCTCTGTTCTATCTTGCTGAATTTACAGAAAGTTTCCTGAGGGAATTATGCCTCAATCTATCCCATTCAGACCTTGTTTCTCATCCACATCTAGGAATATCTTTCCAACATGTGAGTCTAACCTGATAAATCCACTCTAACATGCCGATTTTCCCTAAGCCTTTGGAAACCTTCTTCTACAGTATACCAAGGCAGGGCTGGTGCTTCAGCTTGATTTCCTGTAGGCCACTGCATAATTCATGCTTCAGCGACCCAACCAAATAAACTATAAGATCTTTTCCCAAACTCTAGAGCTGAAACACTGAATGAAGAATCTGTGATTAAGTGGGCTATTATTAATAAACTCAGACTAATCCAACTTTATGTTCCTTGTACCATTGTCCCACATCTTTAATAACCATGCCCACACATATTCCCCATGTTTCTGTTTGTACATATTAGAAAAGTCAAGCAGTTCTTCTGGAGTACAGCATACCTCCTCCTGGGTCACACTTTGTATTTCACCTTTTGGGGCTCAATTGGACTTAAGTCAAGTTATAGGTCTAGAAGCAAAAAAGGGTGGCAGTGATGTGTTTTTAGAACATTCAGCAATGTCTTGTAAGGTATCTATCTCAATACACTTATGCAGTCTCATCACCTTTAAAGCTAAAGTTGGGTAGAAGTTGAATTAGATCATCTGTGAAAGAGCTCTTCGAGCTCTAGCATGCCATAGATCTTAGTTTCAAGCTGTTACTGAGCTAAGAGCTATGAATAACACTTCAGTTTCCACCTTGATCACCGGAATGTGGTATACAGTACATCTCAGAAGGAAAATGGTAACTGAATTGATTATCCAATTTAATAAAACTTTACTGAGCCCAAGGAGCCCTGGTGGTGCAGTGGTTAAGTGCTCTGCTGCTAAACCAAAGGTCAGCAGTTTGAACCCACCAGCCCACGCCACTGGAGAAAGAAGTGCCGGTCTGCTTCCGTATAAGTTCACAGCCTTGGAAACCCTACGGGGCAGTTCTACTCTGTCCTATAGGGCCGCTTGAGTCTTTGAATCAACTCAAGGGCAGCGGTTCTGGTTAGTGAGCACATACCATATGTGCCAGGCGTGGTTTCTTGAGGACCTATGACCTACTTGGTGGGAGACAGACAATTAAGCAGTAATGTTTATCTATATAATATAGAGAGTATAGGGAAAAAGTTAACACAGGGAACTGTGGAAACATGGACAACTCCCTGAGAGCTCAGAAACAGTTTCCTAAAGGTGCCATCCTTAGTTGAACCTTGAAGAACAAGTAAGAGTTTGCCAAAGGTCTTAGTTATCTAGTGCTGCTATAACAGAAATACCACTGTTTGCTTTAGCAAACAGAAATTTATTCTCTCACAGTCTAGGAGGCTACAAATCCAAATTCAGGGTGCCAGCTCCAGGGGAAGGCTTTCTCTATCAGCACTAGAGGAGGGTCCTTCTTATCAGTCTTCTCCTGGTCTAGGAGCTTCTCAGCACAGATACCTTGAGTCCAAAGGATGCACTCCCCTCCTGGTTCTTCATTCTTGGTGGCATGAGGTCCTCTGTCTCTCTGCTCACTTCTCTCTCTTATATCTCAAAAGAGATTCACTCAAGATACAGCCTAATCTTGTAGATTGAGTCCTGCAATATTAACATAACTACCTCTAATCCTGTCTCACTAGCATCATACAGGTAGGATTTGTTTTGAAAGATTAAATATAAAAAAATTATACCATAAAAGGAACTGGAAGAAAATTAATGTAAACAATAATCAAATGGTAGCAACCCCATAGGACAGAGTAGAACTGCCCCACGGGATTTCGAAGGGTGTAAATCTATCCGAAGCAGACTGCCGCATCTTTCTCCCAAGGAGCAGCTGATGGGTTTGAAGCACCAACCTTTCGGTTAGCAGCCAAGCGCTTAACCACTGCACCACTAGGGCTTCTTAACACACGTTTAGTACTCTACAAATATATCCTAAAAAAAAAAAGTTAACTAAATATTCCACCTTGGGGATGTACCACAAGGATTATCAGTCACTGAAATTTATCTTCTTTATTTTGCTTAGTTTGTTTATTCATCAACATATGTTTTGAAAGATTAAATATTAAAAACATTATACCATAAAAAGAACTAGAAGAAAATTAATGTAAACAATAATCAAATCATAGAGTGAAGAACATTCAGAGATTAAAACAGTAAAACTCAGAAAGGAAAAATTGAAGGATTTGAAAATATGTGACATATTCCCTTAAATAAAACAAAAGCCAAGCAAACAAACCAAAAAAAATTCTAGAAATTAAAAGTTTAAAATCTTGAGAAAATAATGGCAATAAATATTACTCACTTGGGGAAGTTATGTATCATCTCTGAGCCTCAAATTTCATGACTGTAAAATGAGAATAAAAACAATGGGTCTGATGTGAAGATTAAATGAGATTAGGTATGTAAAAAGCTTTGCCCACGTAAAACAAATGGTTGTTGCTATTAATCCACAAAGAAATACGATATCCAATAAACCCATTGCTGTTGCCATCAAGTCGATTCCGACTCATAGCGAGCCTATACGATAGAGTAGAATGCCCCATAAGGTTTTCAAGGAGCTAGGGGATTTGAACTGCTGACCTTTTGGTTAGCAGCCATGGCACTTAACCACTGGGATACCAGGGCTCCAATATCCAATAAACACAATAAAATTTGTTCAGTATCTCTGTTTATGAAATAAATTCAAGTTAAAGGAAAATGAGAAAGTGATTTTTACCCTATCACATGGCAAATTTATTTTTAAATGGAACTACTTACTAAAAGCTAGTAAGAGAGCAGTAAGTTTGGCACTTTTATGCATTTCATAGCAACCCTATAGGACAGAGTAGGACTTCCCCACAGGGCTTCCAAGGAGCACCTGGTGTATTCAAACTGCCGACCTTTTGATTAGCAGCCAAACATGTAACCACTACACCACCAGGATGTCCTGCATTTCTGACAAGAGTGAAAATTAATAACTTTTCTAGATGCAATTTTCTAGCATTCAGGGGGAGACTAAAATCTTCATTCCCCTCACCTTTTTAAGGTAATTCTGTTTAAGGTAAAAATCAGGCAAAACGTAATTCCCACCTGCCCCACCCCCAAAAAAAAGGCAAACCTTATGCACAAGAATGTCCCTAGCACAGTATTATATCATTAATGATTAGAAAAACTTAAATATTAAAAACGGAAAGAATGAGCATCACCTCAATCAGGCAGTCAAGGTTGATATCAGTAGTGATAAACAGGGTCAGATAACTCAATAAACAGGGTAAGCACAGGCTTACTTGTGCTTACTCATGAATCTGTAGGGCACAATTTCACATGGGTTTCACCACATCTTTGAAGTGGGGGAGAAACAGGTGGAACTGTGCACTACAGATTTGTAAGTAAGCACAAGTAAGCCTGTGCTTACCTCACTTACTGGGTCATCCATCCCATCAAGGATTGTAAAGTTGAAGAGGCTTTGCTTCTGTAAGAAGGTGCTATGGGGTTAGAGAAGCAGATGCCACTTATACCTAGAGGAAGAATCTTCAATGTGGTGAAAAAAATGTGAAGTTGTCCACTACAGATGATCTATCTGGTAAGCAAAGTAAGCACTGTACTTCCCTCGCCTATTCAATAATCCTCCCTTGATGATAAATCATGTAGATAGTATATACCCATGTGATGAGAGTGGCACTTTACCTCTTTGATATTCTTCCCCAAAACACAAAACCCCATTCTAATCATGAGGAAAATGTTAGAATTAACCCAATTGAGAGATATCCCACAAAATTCCTCACAACTACTTCCAAAACTGGTAAAGTCATCTAAAACAAGAAAAATCTGATAAATTACCATAGCCAACAAAAGCCTAAGGAGATATGACAACTAAATGTGACGGAGTATCCTGGTTCGGATCCTAAAAATTACATTAGGTAAAAACTAAGAAAATCTGAATAAAGTATAGACTTTAGTTCATAATAGTCTATCGGCATCGGTCCATCAATTATAACAAATGTAACATACTAGTATAATATGTTAATAACAAGGGAAATAGGGTTTGGTGGTATATGAGAACTCTTTATACTGCCTTCCCAATTTTTCTGTAAATCTCAAACTGTTCTACAACAAAAAAATTACTTAAAAATACAGTGAAAATAAAATAAAAGGATGATTCAGCAAATTATGCTATTTGCATTTGATGGAACGTTATGCGATTATTAAAAGTCTATAAACAAGAATTTTGTTTTGGTTATTTTTTTACTTGGCAACAATGTGAAAAAAATATATGCACTGAACAAAGCCTATAAGGAAGTCAACTAAAATTTTAACAGGGTTTATACTAAGGTATCTTCTTTATGCTTACTAAGATTTTCCAGTTCTCTTAACAACAGTTGATTTGGTGCCTTTAAGGAACCCCAAGAATGAAGGACAACTCCGTAAATTTAAAAAGAAAAAATAATTGTAGTTCTGTGTAAAGAATTTTTTAAAACACACTTTCTTAATAAAATATTAAAATGGATACAGTATAGCCATTAAAATGATTATAGAGATCTAAGTGTATTGTCATGTAAAGATGGCCACAGTATGGGGCTATGTGAGAATATCAGGCTACCAAATCATATATAAGGTATGAATGTGTGTGTGTGTGTGGTGTGTGTATAATTATAGTTAAAGTAAGAGTTATATATAAAATCTGGAAGACTACACATGAAAATGATAACAGTAAATTATTCTTGGTGGTGGGATCATGCGTAATTTTCATTTTCATTCTCTTCTTACTATTTTTCTATTTATACTTATATAAAAAGAAGTAAATGTTCTTTTTTAAAGTACCAATGATGTGTTATTATGTCATAGAGGAAGTACTGCCTCATGTTGAGATGATGTGGTTAATAATGACCTCACTGAGTAAGGGACAACGAGCTGAACTTTGAAAGATGAGTGGTGGCAACTCATAAAAAGGTCAAAGAGTTAATTCTAGGTAAATGGATCACTTAAGAAAAACGCACTAAGACATTTAAAAACATGCCTGAACACACAGAAATTAGAGGTAAACAGTTTCTTGAGACTGAAGCACAGATTAAATGAGAGTGATGTGGAAATGGTTGCTGGAAAGGAAGTCTGAAAACAGATTACTAACAGTATTCCGTACCGTGTCGAGGAAGATGATTTTTGAGGAACAACTCCTAAAAAGTAAAGAGTTAGGAGCACGACTCCCTAACTGTCCTGTTAACACCCCTCATAACTTCAGGAAGTATATGAAAGTTTTAAGTGGGTGTCCAGAGATATGGTTAGACATCCCAGGACTTAACATAACTCAAAGCAGAAAACTTCATGATTATCTAAACAAGACTCTTAGTATTACATTGACTATACCCAAAACTCGATTGTTTATAGGGTTAGACATGACTACTAGAGAGCAACTTCTTTATTCCTCGTATAATGAGTTGTAGGTAACTCAGTCAGCCCACAGGCATTACCTTCAGATTTATTAGAGAGGCAAGTCTCACAACTTCAGGTAAGTTGCTCCATAGGTCCAGAAGTCTATGAGCCATTTTTCCAAGTGACTCAGTTTTTATTTTTCTGTTCACTATTACCAAAGCACATCCAATGAAGGGCCAAAATTTCTGCCATCTGTAGTCATTTCTGCTTTGGAGAAAACACATAGACCACTTGGTCTCGCATCTGCTTAGTCTTGACCCCATAAATTAGGGAATTCAGCATAGGTGGAGCAAGTAAGGTGGTGCTGGCCAGCAAGATATGGACATGTATTAGTCCAAAGCACTGTTTAAGAACTGAGAAGATTCCAGGCCCATAAAAGAGAATCATGACACAGACATGGGAGCCACATGTATTGAAAGCTTTGTAGTGAGCATCTTGGGAAGGAATGTGAAAGACAGCATGGAGAATCAGAACATAGGAAGCAAAAATTAAGACAACATCGAAGACCACTGTGAACATTAAGATAAAAAACCCATACCAGGTATTTATGCAGATGTCGTCACAGCCATACTTGGCCAAGCCAATGTGTTCACAGAATGTATGTGGAAGGATGTTATTTCTGCAAAAGGTCAGCCTCTTCCGATGAAACGTCATGAGGAAAATTATACAATGTGCTCTCAAAAAAACAGCCACACCAATTTTCCTAGTCAGGGAGTGGCTAAGAATTGTAGTGCATCTCAGGGGGTAACTTACTGCAATGTAGCGGTCAAATGTCATAATCAGCAAGATGCCTGACTCAGAGATGAAGGAGGAAAGCTGGAAGCAGAGATGGGCAATGTAACCAATATGAGAAATTTCCCTATAATTGCACCAGAAAATGGTCAATACCTTGGGTTCTGTGGTGGTAGCAAAGACAATGTCAACTCTAGCCAGCATACAGAGGAAAAGATATATATGTTCGTGGAGGCCGCTCTTGGTGAGGGTAATGAAGACGAGCAGACCATTCCTAAGGAGAGCAAAGACATAGGAGATGAAGAAGGAAATGGAGATCCACGTGTGTAAGTCTTCTTGGCCTGGAATGCCCAGCAGATAGGAGATCATATGGTCAACACCAGCGTAGTTGAAGCCAGCCATTCCTGAGACAGACTAATGTGGACTTTATCTT